GTTCCATTATTATCATATAGATACAATATATTGTATAAAAATTATATCATTGTTGTTATGTATATGTTAGTATTTATATTTATGTATAGCTATATTCTCTTTATACTCTATATTAGTGTCTATATATATGTGTGTCTGTGTCTGTGTGTTTTTGTGTCTGTGGCTGCTATGTTCACGTGATGTATATATATATATATATGTGTGTGTGTCTGTGTGTGGGTTGGGGTGTGTAAGTGTTGGTGTGGTGTGTGGAATTTTTATTCATGTCTATATATATGTGGGTGTGTATGTGTGGTGTGGTTTTATTTCTGTAGATGTATGTCTTTATATATATTTATTATTATTATTATATATATATATATATATATACAAAAACATGTATATATATATAAAGAACATACATATATATATATATATATAGAACATACATATATATATATATATATATACCAAATATAGATACATTTATATAGACATTTATATATATATATATATTAGTTTATTTATTTATCTATTTATATATTCAATATATATATATAAACGTATGTGTGAGTTTGTGTAGGTATTGATCTTACTGTATGTATGTAGATTTGTTGGTGGGAGGATGTATATTTGTATGTGTGTTTGTGTGTTTGCCTGTGTGTATTACTTTTACTTTTACTATTTTGCTCAAACTTATATTCATATCATTCATATCACATATATTGTTTGTTTGTCTGTTCGTTGTTGGTCGGTTTTTTGGTCGATGTTTTTTGTCTGTATACGTACGTGTGCTTATACTTTTGGACATCTGTATAGAAGTATCTGCACAAATACATAGAAACATCAATGCAAAACTAAATATAGAGAATCTGTGAAGAAGTATTACTAAATTTTTATTGTAGATCTAAGCTAGGCTTTATGGGCAGTCGTCACCCAGCTAATTCCGATGTATATGTCGGTCCGTAGTTATTTCGCTACCGAGAATATAGCATATACATACTTACGTTATTGTCTAAAATTATAATATTATACACACGTGCATAAAATCAGTGATTTCTGACAAAAAAAATCACTCGTTCTCTTCGCAGTTCCAATTTGAGTTGCCAAGGCAGTCACAAAAGTATTCAGGCATGGCCCACATGTGCGTACGCCCGTAGTTGTTTCACTACCGAGAATTTACGGTCTCTGCCACCGAGCAATGTACTACACCTCGCACTAAAGAAAATGCCCCGAACTCGAGGGAAACCCGGCACACTCAGCTGCACTAGCTTATGTTTCATGCTGGGGGTCAGGCGGCAAGTGCAGAGCCGGCCACAGAACCCAAGCTAAGGGTTGAGGGCAACATATGCAAATAAAGTGAAGTTTGTTTCGTCTAAACTCACATGTTGGCTGCGTTCTGTGCGTTATGGCTGTATCCATTCATGGTATAATGTGGACAATCGGCGGCAAGTGCAAATTCAGCCGCAGAGCCCAAGCTCAGGGGGAATATATCTACATCGAGATAGTCAGGAGTGTGTAACCACTCTGTAAACTGCGTTTGTAAGGAGTATTTGGTAAAATGAGTGTCTACAATGTATGTTGGGCGGCAAGTGCAGGGTTAGTCGCAGAATTTAAGTTAGGATTGGAGTGCGGTATATGCATTTCGAGCAAGTAAAGAAGTATTCGGTATAAGTACAAGCATTTGTTCATAGTGTGAATTGGTCGCTAGATGGTAAGTATCGAGTAAGCCGCAGAATCTTAGTTTAAAATTTGATTGCAGGAAATGCACTCACTATATGAAAGCTTCTATGCAAACTCGAGTTTTAGGAAGTATCCGGTACAGCGAGTTGCATTTGTTAATTGTGTAAGTTGGGCGTTTGGTAGAATCAATTCTAACGTTTGACTACAGTACACCCAGTTCGAATATCTCAGTTTTGTATAAATAATTTAAAAATGTATGCTACGTTTGCTTGTAACTTTTACTATTATCAGCTGCACTAAGTCAAAGTGTATATTGAGAGTTAGGCAGCCAAGAGAGAGTATGGCGCAGAATCCTATAGCTTCCTGTCTTTTTTAAGAGGCCATGAAATCTACGCTAAATTCTGTGCAGAAAAAGACAGCAAGTCAGGATTGTATTTAGGTTTTTATGCAAAATGCCGTTGTCAGGAGTATTCGATATATTGGGCTACACTTACGAATGGGGTATATTGGGCAACTGGTGGGAAGTGCAGAGTAGGCCACAGATTCCGAGCTAAGGATTATAAGGGATACAGGTTACTAACTCAAATTCTTTTTCTATATACTCACATGTACGCCGCATTTGTCAGGAATATTTGCTACATTCAATTGCAAAAGTTATGCCGTAGAATCGGGTTGTAGTCGGCAAGTGCAGAGTAGGCTACAGAATCCAGTTTTAAATTTCGATATATAATCCTATGCAAGCTGCTTTCGAAAAGAGCAAATTATAGTTCGGCTGCAGACAATCATATGAAAGTTAGGCGTTATGAAGCAAATGTAGATTTAGCCTCAACTTAAGGCGTGAATGATTTCAATGTGGGCTGCACATGTTAGGAGAATTTGGCGAATTTTGCTGTTCTATTCATATAACTTGTTGGGCATTTGGGTAGCCGCAGAATCCTATATTAAGATTTTCGTACAATAAACACTTAAACCAAATCATGACTACATATAAACTGCTCCATAAAATGCATTTTTATAAGAAATTTACCTAATTGAAACCTTCAGTTAAAAAATTAACGGCGCGTGCGGTATAAGGCGTAGAACCCTAATTTTAGGATGAGTGTAGTATATACACTGAACAAATCAATTTTTTAAGCATGCGTCTGTGTTGTCTGTAGTGGTGGATAACTACTGGCTTACTCAGCTACACTAATTCTTGCTTTGAATTGGACATTGTGCTGGTCGCAATATTCATACCAAAAAGTTAGAGCAATATACATGCTTCAATAAAGTCAGTTTCTACTATAGCAAATACGTAAGTGGCGCTTTCGAATCGATGCTGGTAAGACTCACCTGTACTGGTTTTTTTTTTCAGCTTTAAGGTGGCAGACGTGACTTGTCACAAAGCACAAGCTAGAGAACGAGAACTTATAAATGTGTTCATAGCACTGATGAAGAGTGTGTGGTATTTTCAGCTGCACTGAAACTAGGGTAAAACATATATTGACAGCTGTTTACATATCATTAGGTTTCCGCGATACACCCATATGTAACGGTTTCTGTTGGTACAAACTGAGTCGCATAAATCGGGTTTAATTAATGACAATATTACAGTTTGCACTGAGCACAACAGTGTTACTCTATGCGATTATTGATCTTACTGGTTCAGTTTGGTGTGGCCTTCGATCTGATCCTACTGTGACTGAGATCAAACAATTTTCGATATCACCTTATGGTTTTGCGACCGCCTCGCCAAACGGAAAGACAATTTTGAATTAATTGAGGTTGCTCGTTCCTTGAACTCAACCACTACTACGGATTCACGCTTGAAGCTTCTTTATATCTCTGATCTGGCCTGATATGAGGACCTCTCAGCCATTTACCAGCTACATTCTAAGCAAGGTACTAACCTTCTCCGTTATTACACCGGTAATGGCATGTTTTCATCTGCGGTGGAGGGTATTAGCGTCAAGAATCCTTTCGATTGATTACAGTTTTATTCCGTTTCTGGTCTTGGTGTACCCATGATTAACACTCTTGACGATGACAAAAGGCTATATTCTTGATCAGCGTGATGCTACTGATGAAGCAAACGGACGCGTTCTGATATACATGTATATATGGATCGCCATCAATGCCTGTGGAATCTCTACAACCCCCGCAGGCCCCCATCGATATACATTGTTGGGAAACAACCTTCATCGTCTGAGCCGGAACGTGCGGATATCTGGCGAGAGTTTGAAGTGGATAAGATATTCCCAGCGGTGGATGAAGCACCACCTAAGATGACGAGCCCATGCCCTCAACAAGATTGACGAATGGCTAAGTACAACTTTTCTCGATCCTAGAAATAAACCAGTAGAACCTTGCATCACTTGCCGGGTATAGGTTGACATTTGCAGCTGGATGGCACTGTGTGTGTTTTATTTTCAGTACTACTGGTCGTTGCGTTCTAAACCAGCAGAAGTAATGTTCGCCCACCAAGCATTACTTCCAATATGTATGTTAGCGGCGAAAGTTCGCTGGCCACTTGTCAAAGTGTGGATTCGCGATGCTGTGAAATTGTTTGATGACTTGGAGGAGTTGCGCCTCGCTATGCGTACATTCGTGCCAACTGCCTATGACAGCCTTCCAAAAGAGCAGTTGCTCCATTTCTTGACATCGTTGGGCCTATGCAGGCGGCATATATGACAGAAAAAATAGGGACTGCGGATGTGTATGTACATCGACCGCAACCGAGAAAGCCGCAGTCAATCTGCTAGTCGTTCACCGATGCACAGAAATCATAACCAATCTCGTGACCGCGACTATCACAATCGACAGGACCGTGGACATTCTATTGCCCGAAACACTCGCGAACAATGCTTTTACTCTAGGGGCCGTTCGTTTTGCCGGGGCGGCTACCAGGATCAGGATAGCAACCGGTATGGTCACGCCAAACGCCAGTCTTCTAAAGTACTTGACCCACCACGTTGGTGTCCCTAGAGAGGTGTGATCCGCGGAGGAGTGAACAGGACCGGTAATTGACACAAACTGTGAAGATGAGTCTATAAATATAAACGTGAACACTGGATTCAGACCTGCACTGATAAGTCAAGAATTTGCTTTGACATTAAATTTCCTGTTCTTGCAGTTGAACCAGGGATAGTTTTCCGTTTGGCAGTATTATCCTGGTGGTCAATTTATATACTAGGATATGATAGGGCGGATGTTCGCTCTGACATGACGAGGGAAAGAGTTGTATTTGACTGAACGACAAAGTACCAGGTTGCCTACTCCTGCCTCATGCTAGCGATCAGTCTGCGTATTCGTCTTTACGAGCCGCGTAAAGCTGCTACCCCATCAACACCAGTAGCTGGGGCAAAGATGTGGCTTTGTTTGTACCGATTCCCCCGCCGGACAAACTTGAATGAGAAAAAAAACACTTGGTAATTAGGGAATGTAATGTATCGAGCTGTGTTTGGGATGCCTATGGTCAAGTTGCACCTGCGGGTGCCGCGTCTGGCATCGTTGAAATGTGAAACAAATGAGCGGTTATTCAAGGATCAAAAGGTCTTGGTCTTAGATGGTGATACTGAACCAGTGAACCTCGGCCATTGCAGAGTTACCTCGACTATCCCCAAACCCGTATATATGTGCGGGAATACCGTCGTAGTGCGCCCCACTACCCCGCGTGACACGATTATATCTGCACACTACATCAGTATCAACAAAGTGTTGAAAACTACGGCTAGCCAACCGAGCACGTATTGTAATACAGCAGGGGTGACTGCTACTTCACATGAACCATAGTATATTGCGTATACTTCTGATAGTGGAGGCCCAGTCGAGCAACTGCCGGACCAAGAGATAACTTCAGATGAGACCGCCTCAAATTATTCTACATTTGGGCCTGAGCAGGTTGTGTCCTATGTGGCTCATGACACCTGCAGACTCATTCTGCCAGAGGACGGGGCGGGGTCTTTGCGCTGTGATCACACGTCCATCCTAGAGCAGAGAGTGGCTTTCAAAGACGAGACGGGCAACACCACAAAGTACGTTATCCGAGACATTTTTAAATCCGACTCCCTGGTAGGAGACGCATATATACGTCCTGGCCCACCACCACCCGAGAATAAAGCACTTCCACTTGCATAAACGGACTTTGGTATCGCTATTGAACAATACAAGTTCTTATTTCCTTCCCTCTTCATTGTGAATAAACTGAATGATGAAAAAATGAACTATGACCGACTGGCTGTACGGAAGGTGGCCCATATTGATACAGATCATTTTGTGACTGTAGGACCAGTAACCGCTCATTAATGCAATACAGGACACGTCACCATATGCGTACTCCAGAAGCGCCAACGCTGGATTTGGATTAGCAGTATCAAGGATATAAATAAGGTTAGAGCTCATATTGAGTATGTGGAGGGACTACTAACTGTATTCGTCGACTACTTGTCACGTTGTCTTGACCAGATAGACTATCTGCTGAAAGTACTTTAGCCTCCGTCAGTTGAATTTATAAGCACCACTGAGACAGCGGTGGGGAAGCGACAATTGCCTTCGCATGTGTGAGTGACACTGGCGAATGTCCTATATGTGTATCGTCACGATACGGTGACTTGCACACATCTGATAACATGACGGAGTTGAGAGCTGGGCAATCAACGGTGACTGGATAGACTTGACTATCAGCAGCTATGGAGCCTGTTTCAGTTGTAACTTTCTGCTAGCCATAAAGACCATCGCCTTGTTGTGTATTGTACCAAGAACGGTACGACTGTCGTCATCCGCCACTTGTGTTGGAAAAAATTATTCTTGGTACAAAATCATGCCATTCTTGTCACTATGCAAATTGAACCTTGACCGTATTTTAGCTGTCGCTTGTTTTTTTTCTAATGGTTTGTGTGAGACTAAGTAGCGAGAAGTTGAAATAAAAAGGTATCGAAGTGTAAAGTGTTCTGCAGAAGACTACCTATACTGACAATATGAGTTTTCACCCTGACCAGCCCAAGCGATTGAGCAGTAGCACAAACACCTTAGGTGTAAAACCACAGGTGAGGTCAAAAATAAAAATTTGCATTTCCACTCTATTTAAAGTCTACCACTTTACACACTAACAACAACTTTCTCGTGTAATACCGTGTAGGGAATGATAATGCAATCTCGACAGCAATTTGAAAGATGCGCCCGTCACGAATGTTGCCAATTTTGCTGCAGAAACGATACGGTTGTTTCTAGGCACAAACACCTTAGGTGTAAAACCAAAAGTGAGGTCAAAAACAAAAACAAATCATTTGCACTTTATTTAAAGTCTACCACCTTGCACTTTATCAATAACCTACTCCTGTATTTCCTTGTAGGGAATGATAGTGTAATCTCGACAGCAATTGGAAGGATGCGCCCGTCACGAATTTTGCCAATTTTGCCGCAGAAACAAAAAGGTTGTTTCTAATTTACGGGTAGTGCTTAATACGGCAGCAATCTTTCATCAACTGGATGGTAGGCAGCGCCTAGATATGAGGGCTAGTTGATGAGAAACTGGAAGCAAAGTTGAAGAAAGAAAATAATTGTTGCAAGTACACAGACACTACTACGCATAGGACTTAATAAACAATAGTTTAGAAATGTTTCGTAATATACCAGATCAAGTAGCACAGTTTCCATACTATATCAGCGACATATTTAAACCTGCTTACGGACGTACATCGCATGTCCAACTGTAAAACAATGACACAGTTGAAAGAAACATCCGGTGACCACATCTGAACATGAGTAAAAAGCATAGCACTTCTGTAAAAAAGGGCATCAAATAACCACATATCGGGTTTTTATCATTTCTTAATATATGATTTAGTGGCTCAATATGATATGACTTGAGAGACTAGAGGTCTCAGGCCAGATTTTACAGCAAGAACCCCTCTTTGATTTATGGAAGTCATCAGAGTTAGCTCACTCTCGAGAGCTAATCAAGTTGCTTAAATTACTCCCAAGAGTTGAGTAATACTTAACAGACTTCCGAGAGCAGATTAAGTTTGTTTTAGGGTTTAGGGTTTTAGGTTTGATTCTATATTGTTGCTACTAAAGGGCCTAACTATATATATATATATGTGTGTGTGTATATATATATATATATATATATATATATATATATATATATATATATATATATATATATATATATATATATATATATATATATATATATATATATATATATATATATATATATATATATATATATATATATATATATATATATATATAATATATATATATATATATATATATAATATAATATTATATA